GGGGTGGTATGGAATTTTGTGATAATTTTAAGTTATTGGATTAAATGAATCTCAACCACTATTTTTGCTAAGCTAAGTTGGAGGATTCAAAATGGTTCCCATTTTTTTTTTTTGGAAAATGTTATTTTGACTTTATTTAAGGACCTAATAATGTACAACCATTAGATTGGTTGTGAGATTTATCTAATATTATAACTCACAATTAATTTAATAGTTGTGTTAAAGCTACATTATTAGGTCCCTAAATAAGATCCCTATAGCATTGTTTTTTTTTTTTTCCTCAAAGGGTGGAAGTAAATGAGAGTGCCCAAAAACCACCTTAGTAAGCCCTAATTGGTAAGATTATGAGACCATTGACTACGTCAGTTATTTCTCAAGGAAACAAATTTACTAGGCTAGCATAACGATCAACTATTAAACTCTAGTGTGAACTCCAAGGCTCAAACATTCAACCTCAGAATGAGATTGTTCAATCGGTATCCTACTGGGCCCACTCGTTGGTATTAAATACATTTTCTCGGTTTGAAGGCGTGAGTTGAAAGAAAAATATGAGTCTTGGTTTGTCAAAAAAGTTAAACAGGAGCATGATTTAGAAACCTTGAATTTCTTGTAAAGCACAGAGGCTGATTCTAACTTAAATGAGATATGATACCAACCTAGCTAGGCTGTGTATCCATATGTGATGGGCTTACATTCACCAAAGCACGAACCTGTCATCCGTTTACAAATGAAGAAAGTGGAAAAATGCATTTAGAACACAAGAGTTTTGATCCTAAATGTTGATTCCTTGATACATTAACAGTGAAATAGAGGCCCCTCATCGGAGTTTTGGGGTAAGCATCGAATGTAAATCCTGTAAGTATTGATATCAATACGATGACCGTGCCATTTTGACTTGCTATTTATTTGGTCAGGCTCATAAGGTGTTGACGTCATGTTTTAGTACTTATTATTTCCACAATTAGACTACAGTCCGAAAGAGGAGATGAGTGTTGTATGACAGCCAATATAAAATTTTTCATTTTCCTTATGAATATAAACACGTACTGCTTCTATATAGTCAGTTCATTTCTCTTATAACATACATAGCTCAAGAAGTTTTGATGTGAGAGGAGGGTCTTTGTATAATTTTCAAAACTCGTACAAGAGACAAAAGGTTTGGTTGCATAACCAATCAAGGTGGAAAAGGTCTCCAGCTAAAATCTGCATGCTATTGCTTTAGTTTCCATTTATGAGCACCCGCGTAGTTGGGGTGTGTGTTTGTGTGAGAGAGAGACAGAGACAGAGACAGAGAGAGAACTACAGGGGACGCAGTTGGTACACCAACAGTCAGGGTTGTAAGGCATACGGTTGTGTATAAACATTTGAACCAATCTCAAAGTTTTCTTTTACTTAGAATATAATCTTGTCAAATTATAGTAAAGCACTAAGCAGCAGACACATCAGTCCCATCTTTGCTTGAGAAAAAAGTGCTTGGCATGGTCCATTTTTGTATATAACTTCCATTGCCTCGAAACTCTAATGGCCTGGTGACAATATCTCATCCACCAACCTCTGCTAGCTTCTCCAAGGATTCATATAGGTCGTCTCGGTCTTGAAAACGACAATGGTTTTGCACATATCTTACTTTAAAATGACTGCTTGATTAGAAAGAAAAAAAAATGTTGATGGATCTATCTTGCATGATTATGTTGCTTATAACCATTATCTAATCACAAAGTTACAACAAAATAACGTAATGTATTGTATCTTAATCGGGGCCAAACATGCATTACCAAGCTTGAAATCTAGTTGGCCATGAGGCCCTTGACGCCATAAAGAAACATAATGCAAATAATGACTATATCCCTGGCCAGAAAGAGAGTCGAGGCCTAAATTGTTTTTAAGAGTCACTTAAATTTTGAAGTTCAGCAGGTGAAATATGCAAGAGGATATAGTTATCATGCACAAGATTGTCAAAATAGGGTCTAAACCTTGTATAGATTTATTAAATGGTCGAAAGACGATATCTAGATGTGTACATGCTAAGTCGAGTTCTTTGACACTGTAAGGTTTAGTTATAATCAATGTGAATGATCACTGAGGGGTTGTTATGGGCATTCAATTTTTGCTTTGAAACAATTAAATTAAAAAATATGTAGTTGAGACGATTCAAATTAAAAAAAAAAACAACCACCATGGTCTCACTGTATTTGGGAACCATAGCATCACGAGTAAGGAAAGGACACTAACTAAATCGATAGATAAAAAATAAATAAGTGAACTATAGATTATCTTTGACAGCACTCTAAAGTCATTCTCCAACAACAGTTGGACCTAGCATGATATCTCTACAAAGTCTTGGAGTTTATTCTTTTATTCAAAACTATAACATCTTCATCACTCAATCAACCAAACACCCCCTTCAGCACCTATATATACACAACCTAAAAGGCTTTGAGGAAGCAGTATCCCAGAGAAGGTTGAAGGTCACCCATTAGAGTCTTTAGCTTCTTTCAAGTGAAAGACAGAGAGAAGAGAAATGGGTCCTCAGGCTCTTTCATCACTGGCTTCAATGGAAATTCTGCTGTCACTGATAACATTGTGCCTCCTTCCTCAGGCTGCATTCGGCATAACCAGGCATTACGAGTTCAATGTATGTCGTTCTGTGACCTTGGCACTAAAATATTTTTGATCTAGTATTGTTCGAATTATATAATGTTCATTTCGTTTCTTCACAATTTGAAACTTTTTGTAGATCAAGTTGCAAAATGTGTCACGACTGTGCCACACAAAGAGCATGGTGACTGTGAATGGGCTGTTTCCTGGGCCTCGCATTGTAGCCAGAGAGGGTGACCGTCTGCTCATCAATGTCACTAACCATGTTTCAAACAATATTTCCATCCACTGGTATGAAACTCAACTTTGTAGTACATAGTCATTAGAGATCTTGGTTCAAAGTATTGGACGATATCAATATCATTACTCTGAGTCGTATTCTGAATGTCACTTCTATTTTAAGACCAATATGTATTTTGTGTAATCCATGACTCTTACTTGACTGGTGGTTCACTTGGAGACGTATCAGATAACAGGGTCAAGTCGTGCAAGTAATCATCAACGAATCACAGTATTAGACTATTAGCCGATCCTATTTCGCCTTGTCACGACCGATGTGTGGCAGTATTCTCCAAGACGATGATCGATATCGTGTCCTTCAGCCATGAATGTTACAGAATTGGGAGCAATGTAATAGGGGAAGAGTACTTTGTTGCCAGCATCAAACACCAAAACCTAATGTGCTACTATGTTTTTCGTGAAACAGGCATGGCATTCGACAGCTTCGCAGTGGTTGGGCTGATGGACCAGCATATATAACTCAGTGCCCTATTCAAACTGGCCAAAGCTATGTCTACAACTACACCATTGTGGGCCAAAGAGGAACACTCTTCTGGCATGCCCATATTTCGTGGCTAAGATCAACAGTCTATGGTCCTATAATTATCCTCCCCAAGCGTAATGCCTCTTACCCATTTGCAAAACCCTATAAGGAAGTTCCCATCATCTTTGGTAATTATACACTATCCACAAGTGAAATGCATTAAAATTCCCTAGACCCTTTTATTGAATTCCAAATTTACCGAGACCGTCTGATATAAATTATTTGCAGGTGAATGGTTCAATGCTGATCCTGAGGCCATTATTAGCCAAGCATTGCAAACTGGTGGTGGTCCAAATGTCTCTGATGCCTACACAATCAATGGATTTCCCGGGCCTTTGTACAACTGTTCTGCAAATGGTATGAAATGCTGCAATCTTTTGGCATAATTAGATCACGA